CTCACAGTCCAATCCAAATTCTAGAACAGCTACTCAGCGCGGTTTCTGACAATAAGGAACTTGCCATGACATAAATCAGTGCACTGTTTCCTCTGTCTACAATGTCTTGCCACAGAGACTTCAGCAGTGTGTGTAGTGATGTAGCCAGTTTACATCCAGGTGCAAGCTCTATTACTCCAGGCATGTGGGTGATAAGCAGTTTACTGATAGGAAATACAGTGGTAGTGTTCTAGAAAGCCCTCTAAGGTAAACAAGGGGGGAATTGAGAGTTTGTTAGAAATACAGCCTTTGCCATCAGACAGACCCAGGTACAAGCCTTGAGAAAGTTACTTAGCCTCAAAGTCTCATAAGTGGGGTCATAGTGTTTACTTTATAAATTTGTGTGAGGATTATGTGAGAAAATGTTAGTAGACCACTAAGCCCAGTACTAGCCAGGAGCACTCATCCAGTGTGTTTTATTCCCCCTCTTATATATATATATAATCATAGATATGATTATGCCTGCCGCTCCCTGGAGGTTTGGTGTTAGCTTCACCGAGCAGGTATTGCATGCCAACACTGAGTCCAAACACGGCCAACCGAAATAGACCCCAAAGGGTGCCACTTGGCAGGTGTGGGTGCACACTCATTTCTCTTAGACCCACAGCCTGAATCTGTTTTCTATGGCTGGAATATAATGGTTTCAAACTCAGACTTCAGACATGTCAGTTCCTTAAAAAGAGTTTCTCTAATTAATATTCATTCTTAGATTCACGACCATGGGAAAATCTGCTTAAGCCCAATAAAGTATATTTATTTTCTTAGCAGAATTTTAGTCCTATTTGCATGTACAATAATTTCCTTCAACAAAATAGTTTTGCCTTATTTCTAAAGTAATTTATAATCCATAATTTCATAAAGTAAATATAAGGTGTAAAATAAAATAATTCTACCTACACATAATATGTTTGAAGTGAAAGTATTAAAAATAATCAAAGCTGGCTCAAAAGTACTTAGTTATTGTTAGTTGTCTTTTGTATATATTAACTGGAGAAAACTTTGTCATTTTTGCTTCCATAGAACAGGGGAGGGGAGAGGAGTTCAGTAAAGAAAAAGGCAGTAACATTTATTGAATGTCTACTATTCGTCAGAAAAATTCATATATGCCATCTTGTTTTATCTTTACAACCACCCTAGGAGGTTGTTGGAGTCATCTTGCTTTAAAAATGAGGAAATTCAGTCAATTAATTCACATAACAGGGCTGTTAATTAGCTGGGTACCCAGAAGGCAGACCCATTGTTTATTGCCAAGGTAAAGAAAGGGGAGGAGCTTTTTAGAATGTTATACTGAATTCATTCAGGGGATATTGAATGCCTCTTGCAAGGGAGGCACCAAACCAGGCACTGGGAGAATTAAATAGATGTGTGGAACTGACCTCAGGGGTCTGGTGAAAGAGGAGTATATGTAGACCTTGGATGCTAGTTGATGCTTCAAGAACTAACTGCTTAGTTCATCTATTGATGTTCATTTCCATTTGTTAATATAATCATTACTGAGAGCAATTATTTTGACCTTGATTGCAGATCTCATTATTGGTGAAATTGAAATAATCTGAAACCTTTGAATTTCATTGTTGTAAATGTCTTCTATAGCACTGTGACCATATCCATGTTATAGGACAGATCAGATGTCCTCCTAAGTGGACTGATAATACTTGAGGTCGGGTCATGTTTCATCTATCCATAGTGCTGGGATGCCTTGTCCATGGCCTGACATCTGACAGGTGTTCAATAAATATTTGTTGAATGATTCAAGGTATTGCTGGAGCAAACCATTTAAAAAAATACATAATTAGTCTTAACAATATGAGTCTAAATTAAATTCCAATTAAAAAACTTGTTAATTGCTTTTCTCTGCTTAGCTATTAGCTGACACATACTTATACACTGTCAACAACCTAATAATCATTGTACAGAGTTTTTAACAATTGAAGACTGTGTTTTTTCCCTGACTACATTTTAATACATTTTGGTGAGCATATTGCATTGATTATCAGAAACTAGTATTTCTTTTTTTCTGACTTTGGTATTTACATTATCATAATTCTTGCCTTTGTTTCTAAAATGCAGCCAAGGGTTATTGCCAGAGTTAAAAAGAAAGCTCTTTTGAACCGTTGAGCATTACTAATACTCAACCTTTTTATATAGATATATTTATTTATTTATAT